TTCCTTCCTTCCTTCCTTCCTTCCTTCCTTCCTTCCTTCCTTCCTTCCTCCCTTTCTCTCTTTTCCTTAGTAAGACACAAGAATGCCGACATCAAGACACGAGTTCCTCAGAAAAAGAAACACACCCCACAGGATATATCAGGCAAAAAAAGGAGCTAAGTGCCAGGCCCCCATGGCAGGGCCTCTTCTAGGTAGGTGAGGCTGGAGAGGCAATCAGCTTATCTCTGGCCCACTACCCCTCTGCTAACATTCCTGAGGGACATGCGCCAGGAGTCAGGCTATCCTTTGTCAGGGCCTGAGACCATAAATCCTTTCCCCCCTAAGTAGAGTTCATAAGATGAAAATTCAAGTCTAACCAAGTGACTTTGTGTCTATGGCTTGGACAGGACATTAAAACCTTCCTTTAATACTATTTTCTGTATTTTCAGATTTTTTTTTGAAGGGAGATTTTATTGCTGAAAGTTGCTTAGAGGCCACCTAGTCTACCTCTTTGGTTTTACCCATGAAGAAATTTAAGTTTTTTTCTGCCTTTCACGTTATCCCTGATCATTTCATAACAAAAGACTCTTATCAGGAGATGACTCACGGTCCCACAGGAGCAACATTTGGTCAATAACAGAAATATATCTCCTTTTTGCCTTTCTTGTCCTAATTTCATCTCTCTTAGCTCAGAGTCCACATTGGATTATTGCTTCTCCTTTCACTGCCTCTTTCCCACAAGGATTTCTCCAGCCAGAACCTCAGCTCCATCTCCTTCCTGCTACGTCTGCCCTGAAACTTTTACTCATTCATGTTCAAACCTCATTCTTCTAACACCTCCTATCTCCCCAACCATCTGCCTTCTCACCCTTTGCCAAGCCAACCCGCAGAAACTAGGCAAATGTTCTTCAAATTTTCAGTTCAAAGTCTAGCAGCAGTAGCTTTTGTGATTGTAGATACATAGGTGTAAATCTTTGTGAATAAAATGTTTTTACTTACTCTGTTTTCTGACTATTGGAATAATAAGGAATATAATTACATATGGTATCCATAGTGATGTGTTGATTAAAAGAATGAGTTTGGGTTTTTTGTTTTTTGTGTTTTTTTTTTTTTTTGCCATGACAGCAGAAAATGTTTGGATCTTGCACAAGACAAACATTAAATGTTTGACCTAAAATATCTTTATTCCTTGGTACTATCTAACAGAGGATAAAAAAAGGACTAAAATGAATGAGGGGTGGACTTAGCTCCCTAACTGCCAACTAGGAGGCATTCCTAGGGAAAAATTGCCCTGCCATGAAGGAAAGAGGGATAACAAACAATGTTATGTCCCAGTCAGAATATGAAATCCATGTTGAGAACTTTGTTTGAGTAAGATAAGATCTATTACTAAGTCAACAGCTCCCAATCTCCAGCCATGTATTGTGGAATCAGAGTCAGAGATAAGTTCTGAGGACTCAGAGAAGCCTAGAGACCGCTCAGCTCCAGAATGCAGGACTAAGGACCCACCTCCCACCTGCTAGAAACAAAAAGAAAGATATGATTTCTGTGATGTTCACACCACGTAAGTCACTACAGAAGAAATGACTGTTGTAAGTCCACCCACAGACACATTTTGGGACAATGCCTTCTCTAATGTATTTGTGGGTCTATGGCAATGTCTTAGTGCTCTGTCTAGCTGCTTAGTGTTGGATGTGGGAGACTCTGATCCCCGGGAAGGAGCCAGCTGCTCTCCTCCCACAAAGGAACTTCCTGCCATCACTCCTGCTCCTGGGCTCATTCTCTTAAGCCTTCCGTATCTGTTGTGTTTCTTCAGTGGAGAAGGACTCTCCAATCCTGGGCACCTGGGTTGAAGGAGTGTGGTTATGATTACAGTTACACTCAAGGGGCTGGGGTTGGTAAGAGGGTTTTAGGAGCCTTCAGAGGGACTGCAGGGGCAACTAAGTGGAGAAGTTTACGTTGCCCAAGCTCTTGAACATGAAGGAATTAATGGGTCATTTGGCTGACAAAGGATTTATTATGAGCAAAGAGTGTATGCTTCAGAAAAAAGAAGGTTCTGGGTTTGTACTTAGAGACCTAACGTACAGAAGACCTGATGGGGGAGGAGAGAATCCACATCAAAAATGAAAAATAAGTGAGAGCATAAATGAAAATGACATGAAGCCTATAAAGCTGGATAACTTAGTAAGGCTTCCGTGGAGTGACTGAGGATATCTGGATTGATGAGTAGAAGAAGAAGGAGGGAGAAGCCTGTCCTTAAAAATGTTGAGAGACATGAATATAGGAAGGCCCCAAAGGCTGTGTGATTAGGAGTCAGCTGTCCTAGAAAATCAGGGTGATGAAGGAGACTTCAAGTCATCAGTAACTACAGCCTATGAGAAGGGGAATTCTAGCAAAATAAAATTAGTGGAAGACATTGAAGGGCATAACTGATGGACGGGGGCGGGATTTGAAGGGTGAAGCATGAAAGAAGAAGCATGAGGTTGCTGTGGCACTGAGCCAGAACTAACAGGGCTCTGGAATGGGCAAGGAGAGGCTGATTTGAGAAAAGTTTTCAAAGTAGGACTGATAACATTTGCCACAAGTAGGAAGGATAATGCACTAATGAAGTGTTAGAAATTTCAGAGCTTATGCAAAGATTTATGATCAATAAATAGAGAGGTACCGACTTGTTGGCTGAATGAAGTCATTCTAGAAATCTAGGGCTATAATTTCAGCAGAAGAAAACCCTTCTAATGAGCTTACTAAAATCTAATCAATATGCCAGTACTCCTCCATTCAGGCTGTTACGTTGATTTGGGGAGAGGTCATGGAATGAACCCTAATTAGGTGAATCTCCACTCTTCTCTTTCTTCTCTAATTTGATGTCTCTTTGTCTCCATTTGCACAATCTCCAGAGTTTGTTGATGGATTGTGTGTAGTCTGTAAACGCTTGGCCAAAAACAACCTCAGTCAGTGGCCCACATGTGACCTGCAGAACCCCATGAAGGCAAATGGCACCATTGGTCAACAGGCTAGTTGTGAGCCAAGAACCAGGCGGAGACAACAGAGTTGCTTCTTGTCCTTTCTGTAGAGGTGCTAGGTTTTCAGAATTCTGCAAAGTACATCTTCTTGCCTTGGGCTAAATGTCCTTGACTTTCTACTGTCCCACGTCAGGGTGAATGTCTACCCTCACGAGAATACCCATTAGGGAAACCCTGAAGTCTGATGTCTCTCTCTGTTCTTCATCATACAGGTGACACGATGCAGCCAAGGAAAAAGAGGAAGTGATTGCAGGCTGTTTTCCAAGAACAAAGGAGGAAGAAAACATGAGAGTTTTTTTTTCTTTTCTTTTCTTTTTTTTTCTGGTTGGGGAGTTGGTGGAGTAATATAGGAGGTAGAAAGGACAGGGAATGATATCTAAATTGATTGAGACGGTTTGTGAAGGTAGCTTAATTTGGGGACTCTTCGTTTTTTTTGCAAGGTTTACTGGACATGCCAAAAACAACTGCTGTCTCAGAATCTGTTACCTTCGTCTGGCCTCTGTGGTCAAAATCTGGCCAAAGGCCAAGGAAACTCACATAACTCGGCTTTAGAGAATGTTTAGAGAGAAAGGGATTTGGGATCACCAAAACTCTTCACCTTACAGAGGAGGGTGTTGAGGACCTAGCTGAGAAGTAATCTGCACGAGGACCAAAGAGCTAGTGTCACAACCAAGATAATAGCTTTTGTCCCCCAGATCTTCTAACTCCCAGTCCTGTGCCATTTTGAATGACCCTAAGTTTCCTAAAAATAAGTATTTTTGTCAACTAGCTATTTTCATGGACTGCTCATTGATTTTGTTTTCCTCAGTCTAGATAGAGATGTAGGGAGATGGGTGCTACCAAAGTCATCTGTCCACCTGATAAGAGAGCAAATTAATTGGGGCAATGAGAAAGTAAGTTATAAAAAATATGGGGAAATTTGCCCCTCTTGTGAGCAAGCATTCGGGGCAGGTCCAAATATGGGACTTCGCAACATCGTCATCAAAATCTCTTCCATTCGAATATTGCTTTATTCATCCAATAAATGTACATCTTACTTGGGGAGTAAGTGATGGGATGTGACATGGCCATGAGGACCCCCGAGAATGCTTTGGCACAAATCACTTTGCTGAGTTAGCTTATGGTTTAACAAAGCCGATGGCTAGCTGATTAACAAGCACATTCACGAACCCAGCTTTGATCTTCCTAGTGAGTTTTTCTGGGTCCTTATTTACAGGCACATTTTGTAAAGAACACAGATGATAAGGGTCTACTAGTGGGTAAGCATGGAGTCTTGCGGTGCTTCACCAGGTCCATATGGGCTGGGTGTGGAGAGCAGAGTAAATTGTACTTGGGTTTCCCAACCTAGCACCATTCAGGAGAAATCTGGTAAAAATGGGTACATTTTGGTGAAAATTATTCCTAGAACCACATCAAACCTTGATGGCTCTATGACTGGCCACTGATCTATTCCAAGATCAGAAAACCTCAGAAATACCAAAAATGGTCTTGAGTTAGAGAAGAGGGCAAACTGCCACAACAGGGCAGGCAGCCCCGAGAAGCCTAGGACAGGCACCAAGAAACCTGCTGTCTTCCTAATCCTTTATCTACTAATATATAAATATGAGCCACAAGTCTTTTTTGGATTGAACTGGGAACACTCTACCTGCTGCTGCCTGAGTGCTTGGAGCACCTGGTCTCAGCAGAAGCCCAGAAGCAGTTGTCACAATGGAAATTCCCCAAATGCGAAGCCCACAGGGGATCACCTAAATTTTCCACACCCCAAAGATGACTGGGGCTGCACACTTCTCAGAGTGATAGTAAGCTCTTGGCTGGGATGCGCCTGCTGAATTCTTCACTGTCCCTGGAACCAAATTAAACCTTGAGTTCTGTATAACTGACCATCATGCAGGATCCATTCCAATGCCAGAAATACCTGAGAACCACCAACCATTGAGCAAATATACAGGAGCACCTCCTTGATGCAGGGGGCTGCTGGAGCTTAAGAAAGGAGAAGCAACAAAACACCTGCAACGAACACAAAATACACTAAATAAACATTTGTTAAGAGGTCAGTAGGATTTGCTGCCTACAGAAGGCTAGGTCCTTAGGGGTTAGAAGACAATACCAACCACATGGGGAGAGAGTCAGCAATAATATTTGTGTAGGGTCATGTAATTGACAAACTCACTCTCCCCCATGATCTGGTTTTATCCTCATGAGAATCTTTTAAGGAGAAAATGTATCCGTCCTCATTTTCCAAATGAAGAAACTGAGTTTCTGATATTGGTGTGCCGGTAAATGTTTAAAAACCAACTCTCCAGAAAAAGGAAAATTGTAAGGCCCTAATTTATAGTGATTGCCCATTCCATGGTGGGAACACTCCACCACAACCTTTTTCAAGCTACCAAGAGGCCACTGAAGGCAGAGCTGGGAAGAGATATGCATAACTATTTGGTCCTTGAAAGGACCACAGGAGTTGGCTCTGGTATGCCACTGGTCCAAGGTCACACGCGTGGTCAATTCCTGAGGCCATTTTCCTCTCTCTTTTTTTTTTTTAAGATTTTATTTAATTATTTGACAGAGAGAGACACAGCCAGAGAGGGAACAGAAGCAGGGCGAGTGGGAGAGGGAGAAGCAGGCCTCCGGCAGAGCAAGGAGCCCAATGTGGGACTCGATCCCAGGACCCTGGGATCATGACCTGAGCCGAAGGCAGACGCTTAACGACTGAGCCACCCAGGCACCCTGCCTATCTCTTGATTATAGAGCAGAGCAGTAACTGGCCATCTGAAAGCTTTTACTTAACAAAGCAAAAATGTGTGTATATCTGCAAGGCTGGACCGAAGGTGGTGGTCAGGGGATGCCAACATGGTGGAAACTCTCATCCACAGAGGCAGAGAGAGGAGCACCTCCAATGCCTCGTGGATTGGTCCATACGTTCTAGCACTGCTATCTCACATGTAACACCAATTTTCAACTTGGGGCGAACACTTACCCTGTTTGCCTAAACAGTCCATTAGCCCCATCCTCTCCTCAAATGGGTCATGCATTTCTCAAGCTATTTTCAGCTCCTCTGCACCTACTCGCTTGCAATACTTGTCATAACAGGAAGTTAGTTGCATATACTGTAATCCCCAAACACGTGGCGCCTGCACGCGGGGAGCGGGAGGGGGCCAAGGGAGGAGTGGGGAGGCCGGGCTTCCCAGAAGGCCGCCTGGCTGAGCCCTGAACCCATCCCAGGTCTGGGCCTCTCCCTCCGGGACCCAAGTGTCAGAAACCAGAATCCTTACCCAGACATTGTTTTCCTCTCTCATGCAGTTGGTGGCTCTTTTTCTTTTCTTTCTTTCTTTCTTTTTTTTTTTTTAATAAAGCACTTGAGTAGGCAGCAAAGCCAGTCAGAACTGTTTATTTATAGCTGTGGATTTTCAATGCTGTATAAATTAGAAATCATTGCTGAATGAGGCCCGCGCCCACTCACACACGCAGGGCTGCTACCCGTGGTCCTTTCACACAGTTTGGCTGTACAGTCTAAAATGGGAGAAAATGACATGCTCCGAGTCAAATGACGAAGTCACAGCTAAACTGCAAAGCAGAAAACCAGCAATTATTTTTCCTCAGCACAATATGGGGGTACGACAGGTGCAATTATCCAATATTATTTAACAGCACCGGTTTGTGGTGTAGGGAGAAAATAAAGGTTTCCGTGTCTCAGAGAGGAAAAAAAAGGAGAGAGAGAGAGAGAGAACCTGCCTCCCAGCTCCTGTTTCTGTGGATTAAGCTGTGTTAATGTAAATTGAAACTGGCCAGGATTCCAAAAAGGGAAGGGAGAAGCACCTGGCTCCCTCGCCCTTCCTCCCCAGAAGCTCGCAACCTGTGTCATCAGGGACTTCTGAGAAAAAGCCCCTCACCCTGGGGACCCTGACTGTCCTCCTCTGTGGCAGCGGTTCTGGATAAGACTGTGGGTCAGGCCGGGTTTGCAGAGTTCCCATCCCTTAGACTAGGGAAACCCTCTCCTCCACTGGCTCTCCCTCCCTCGGCTGCAGATGAGGTAAAAGAGCAGGTGACCCACAGGGAATAATTTTCATCCTCTTAAGTACCCCCTGTTTTGGCCTCCAGCATGATTTTATTCCTATTTCCATTAAACTGCTCTCCCTCCCTGAAAAGACTGCTGTTCGTCCAGCAACTCTTACATAAACAAGTTGTTCTTAGTGGCTTCTGACTTTCCTGGGCGCCACTTCCCAGTCTCCTTCAAAGTTCCCTCTAGCTCTCCGAGGCACAAGGCTCATTCCCTTCTCTACACCCCAGAGCGGGCCATACCTGTCCCACCCAGCTTTGCAGCTCTGTCCTTCATCCAGCCTCTTGGCTTCTGTTCCCATAGCAGTTGGGAAGCTGGAAAGAACATGAGCTTAAGAACCACAGCAGATCTGAATTCAACCTGACTCCACCCCTTGCTACGTAATTAGAACGTGGGGAAAAGAGTTTACTGTTCTGAGACTTGGTTCTTTAAAGTCACATGATAATACCTACCATGAGTAAATAAGATTATTTAAAGGAGTGGTGGCATCCAAGATTCTCCATTCCATCCTGCTTGACTGCAAGCTCATTGAGACCAGGGGCTACGGCGAGTTGTCTGTATCCCCAACAAGGCCTAGCTCTATACCGTGACAGAGTACTGGAAGTATGTACAGAGAATTGATTTAGGGGTTACTTACAGCTTCTTAATTCTATAGGCTTCATCACCAGTGATCCCCCTTTCCCAGAAGCTGAGATTGTCAACATGAGAGCCACCATTTCACTGAAGATACTCTCTCCATGTTAAATCCCAAAATCCTATTACCAGTGATGATCAAGTTATAGTTTCATGGGACCAAGCAGTGGAAAGCACATTGACAGAACGGAACATAGTGCAAATAAATTTTGATAAAGAGGAAAAGCAGCTGAGGAATGGCCTGGAGAATAAAGATTGCATGCAGGTGGAGCTCCAGATTGGACGACTGGATAGCCCTGATTACCCCAAAGAGCGCCTGCAGGGTACTGATCCAAATCAGGAAGACTGATCCCCAAAAGAGAAGTGGGGGCAGGGGGAGCACTGAAGACAAATCCTGTTTACATCAGAATTTATTTTCTTTTAGGTTCCTGTTCTGCCCTTTCTTACAGATGGTAGCTCTTATCCTCAAGGCGTGGTCTAGTTTGACTCTTTTTCTTAACCGAGACTTCTTCAGCCCCTTCCATGGTATGACTAGGACCATGGAAAAGGTCTCTGCTCTTACTGCTACTCCAAATATCTTACTAATGTACAAAAAATCCCTCACCATGGATAAAGTATTCCCCTGGACATGGAGAGACCCATTTAACACATAAATGAGAGAGGTGACCTGTTGACTTACACTCATTCGTATTCAATGATCAATGAAGGATATCTGATGACTTGAAAGCAAGTGTTTAATAGGGGAAAAGGTATGCTTAACAGAGTGAAAATGAGGATATTGGAAAGAAAGAAAAAGGTTCAGAAAGGGTTAGCTGCAGACTCCAAGAACAAACCTTGCCTCAGTCACAATGTTTTTACCATGTGGGTGGCCAAGAGATAACTGGGCATGGGTCCTGGCTCTCCATCCCACTAGGGAGCTAATCTATGGTCACTGTGCCTGCAAAGAGAGCTAGACAGTGATCTTGGCCACTGGTGGGTCAACAAAATTCTGCATGCCTTTGGAGGAGTGGAAAGAGAAGGCACAGCTGTGACACGCCACTCTCGATGTTTCCAGTGTTGGCTGTCTGGCCGGCACTACAGGAATTCCAGTTTGCTCTAGAGCTGGGGAGAGAAGTTAGTGTTGGATTGCCACCATTCTTAAAAAGGAGGGGAGGCAGAGCAAAGAAAAAAAAATGGATTCCATTGGCTCTTGAAGAGCTTCAGCTGGATTGAACTTCCCCAAGATACCTTCTTGGTGTTTTTTTTTTGTTTGTTTTTTGTTTTTATTTTACTTATTTCACAGAAAGAGAGAGAGCACAAGCAGGGAGAACAGCAGAGAGAGAGGGAGAAGCAGACTCCCCGTTGAGCAGGGAGCCAGAAGCGGGGCTCCATCCCAGGACCCTGGAATCGTGACCTGAGCGGAAGTCAGTCGCTCAACCGACTGAGCCACCCAGGTGCCCCACCAAGATTCCTTCTTACCCACACATCTTGTCAACCAGTCCCAGAGCACCTGAAGTGTTGAAGAGAAATGGAACACTTACTAAAGGTTCACTGAGCTGCTTTGAGGGCAGGCAGTATGACCTATTACCATTGTATCCCACACACAGAGCACAGTGCGAGATACACAGTAGACTTTAAATGCATATTTGACACTCAGATTTAGGTAACATGTTCAGTGCCTCCTGGTGGCATGGGAATTTAAATCTAGATCTATCCAACACAAATGCCCTTGTTCCCACTCCACCAAAAGTGTTCCTGACTGATACCTCAGAAATACGCTTTACATCATGACTCTATAAAAACACATTCACATTTTTAATGTGTGTGACAGACCACTTTATTTTCTATCCTATTATTTTCCATTCTATTACCTGAAATATATTGTGACCATTACATTGATTTCTCAATCCAACAGTAAGATTGCAACCTATGGGTTGAACAACATAGCACTCCACCGTACTGTAGGATTCATTCATTCATTCATTGAGCAAGTGCCCACCATGTGTATGGTCTGGGCCATATGCATGTCCCTGAGGACAGAGACCCTGGTGGTCACCGCTCGGGCCATTTGCATTAGAATTAGGAGTTTGCAGCCTTTCCTCCTGCAGCATCTGTGGGAACGTAGAAGAAAGCCTTGTTCTGCTCACTGTTAGCAGCTGCTCTGCTAGACTCAGCCCCTCTGAGATGCAGACAGGAAGAAGAGAAAAAGCATTTCCACTACAAGAGCTTACAAAACCTTCCGCTGAAGGCTTAAGTCTGGCCTGAGTTGATACATTTGGTGACACTGTAGGGATTTGTTTTCACTCAACACTTAATTTTATTAAGATTCAAACAATGAAGTTAGATGAAGTTGAGTTAAGAAAACAAATACTGTATGACTTTTACCTTGGCAGGAATTTCGTATGTGATTCTGAAAACTCTCAATCTAAGATGTTGAGTTTTATTCCATTGGAAAATTTTCCAAAGTGTATTTTAAAATGCACTCACATTGTCATTTTATATACATGCGTAATCTCAACTTTGCCAATGTGTAAAGTCACGTTGTTAAGTAAAATTATTTTTATTATAAAATAGATTGCTTTGGTACTGCTTGCATTTTCTTCTGCTAGACGTGCGGCCATTTCGACCTTCTGACAGCCTCACATATCACCAAGCAAAAAGGAAGATGCCAAGAGATAGGTCTGCAGCCAATTCAGTCATTTCTCCCTGCTCAGCAGTGGGGATTTCTGGGTAAACCTCACATTATGGGAAAGAAAAGACCTATTGCAAAATGTCCTTCCAACTCACAGATGAACTCTTGGGGGCCCACCTGGGAGTCATCTTAGATCCTAGTATTACTTAAAACAGGGATTACTTCCATGACTGCATTAACAACTATAAAGGGAGATTCCTGTGCACTCTAAGGGGTTTAATGAAAATGCTACATGCACATAAATCTTGGTCCTGTAGTTGCTTATTGGGAAAGAGCTTGAAAGCACAACTCCGTGATGGGGTTGCAGGGTCTCTGAGGATGAGAGCTAGCGAGGCTTCTAAGCTATTTGTGAATGAATGTGTTTATGTATGTGTTACAAGGGGTTGTGTTGTGTGCCTTCGATCTAAGGCAGCCAGCTCTGCTCCCTGTTGGTGGGTGGAGATGCCAAGGGTGGGCAGCTTTGGATTTGACTTATTGCCTGACTGCCTCTCTCCTCGCCCCCTTCTCCACTCAACATTTGTCACTTCACTTCATCCCTCATACAGTCACCCTTGAAAGACCCTCCAGGTGCCAGTCAACATCAGGCTAGACTGTTTATCCAGTATGTGGATAATCCCAGTTAACATTTAGCCTAAACCATCACTAAATTTAATTATATTTACAATATAAATTCATTTGTAGTTATAACAGTCTAGAAGTGGTAGAGCTATTATTATCTATATTTATTTCCCAGGGCTAGCACAACAAAGGACCACAAACTAGGTGGCTTAAAAAAATAGTTTATCCTTTTACAGTTCTGGAGGCTAGCAGCCTGAAATTAAGGTGTTAGCAACACCATGCTCCCTTGGAAGGCTCTAGGGAAGAAGGCTTCCTTCTGATGGCCCCTGATAATCAATCCTTGGTTTGTGGCTGCACCACTCCAAACTCTGCTTCCATCTTCATATGACATTCTACCCTGTGTGTTTCTGTGTCTCTTACCATAGTGGGAATCTGAAATCTGTGTCCAAATCTGCCTCTCCTTTCTCTTTTAAAGATACCAGTCATTGCTTTTAGGGCTCCCCTAAGTCCAGAATGACTTCATTCAAACCACCCCACCACAGAGATGTCCCCCATCCCCTAGCGCACCTTCCTTGGCTGCAGAGGCAGTGCCTAGGGGAGAAAGATATGGGGTCCCAGAGTTAAATCCACCTGCACCATGGAGATGCCAGGCTCTTCCCCCACAATGGTAGAAGCAGGAAAAGGAATGGTTTTCTAGATCAGGCTTTTCAGTTGGAGGAATTAAAAAAGGAAGGTTTGTTCCTAGTATTCTTTGTTGGCCAGGAAACCTATCCCCTCTCCTAGGGCAGGAACTCAGGGCCATGTAAGCCCATCTGTTTCCAGGCTTCTGAGATTTCTTTGTGTCCCCTTTGCTTTGTACCCCTCCCCCCTTTGATTTATGAGACTAGGGGAGATGATCACTCCTAATTTAACTTATCTGAAAGATGATCAATTAACTAATCACATCTGCAAAGATGCTATTTCTAAAAAAGGTCACATTCTTAGGTTCCAGGTTGACATAAATATTGGGGGGAAGCTATTCAACCTGGAACGTTATCCTTATTTTACAAATGAGAGGATTGAGGGTCAGAGGTCATTGGATATCAGACTCCAGCTTTTAATTCTTCTTATTTGTCTGTCTTAATTTAAGCAATCACCAGTAAGTTATACTACAGGTGATTATACCACCTACTACACATGGCCATTTGCTGTTCCTTATCTCTAGTCCTCCTCACAGCCCTGAAAGGTAGACATTATTAGCCTAATGTTAAGGATAGAGAAACTAAGGCTCAGTGAGGTTGATGTGTTTTCCCAAGGAAGAATTACCCAGGAAGGATGGGGCCCAAGCCCACTCTGATCAGCTCGGATACCTGCCCCCTTTCTTTTATGCCCTGTGATCTCCCCCAAATCCTGCTTCTGTTTCCCTCATGATGTCTAGAAGGTCAACTGTTCTTTCTGTCTCCTCAAGGTCAAAAT